ATATACACTGAAACACTTAGAATAGCTAACACTTGTTCCTGATTTAGACACATTTACTGATAAACTAACAGAATTCATAAGAGTGTTACTAGGAAATGGTTACCATGAGAACTTTATTATAACTAATGTAGTTAAGTGCTTTTATAAAAATAAGTTTATATGTTACAAATTTTCAATTGCTAATAATTATAAAAACATTAATAAGTTAGTGGAAGGAATACTTCGTCACTAAATTTCTATCTAAATGCTGGTGGAACACGTGCTAACGCCCACCTTTTACACTTTATATTTTTACATGTTCAGTAAAACTTATTTTTTCAATTTAGTCAATATATAATTCATTTCATTGCATGCTCCTCTGCATGATAAGTACGTCACATCAAGGTTTATTCGTCTTTCCCCTGTGTCTTTATTTCGCCAATCCCAACTCACTGATGAGCTCCGGGGATTGACGAAATAATAAGGTTCGTCTGAGGAAGGAGCGAAACGAACCGTATCAATTATTTTGTTTATAATGGTTTTTCTTTCTTAATTGAAGAGGGCAAAGCGATGAGAGTCCATCAATGCTCAAATCAACGGGCAAGGAAGGGGTCCCATTTCTCGGGTTCTGGGCCGTTTCTCATGGTTTTCCTTCTTTCTGTACCACTCACCATCTCTAGGTTAATTTGAAATGGGTTGCTTTTCATCGTAAATTCGTCCTTTAATCTATCCTACTCCATTTTATTTCAACGTTGAAGTATCCAGGTGTAGTTTTATAGTCTCCGAACCAAAATGCTTTCAGTCATAGTTAGTTACCGATAATGGATTTGCGATAACAGGCAAAAGCGTGCTACTAGCATTTCTAGCAGAAAAATTCCAAATGTACCACCCTTTTATCCATACTGTTTTTCCAATTAACACCTTTTTTACGTGAATAATTGGGTTTTTTGGGCGTCGTTTAACCCCTAGACTTCGCCTTCAATGACGTCGCTTCGCACTCATCCGCAAAGTTTTCGCACCTATTTTATTAACATATCCTCCCACCTACGAGCGAGGAATCTTTAAAGGCAAACTCCGGGATTGAACAAGTGCTATCAGCGCTCTGTAGTGATAGCTTAGCTGCGGAACGACCTGAAAGTGGGAAGGAAAGCAAGAGAAATCTTTGGGAACGCTGAAACTAAGGCCTTAACCTTCAACAGGGTCGGATGTGGTACGATGGCGAGACAGGGCGGTCAAAGAAGACAAAATACGCGAGAGAGCACGTCGTTTGAGAGAGCACGCTGATCTCTACATCAATGCACGCTGATCTCACCACTCTCGCGGTGGGTGGGAAGCGTTGGATGGGTCGATGGTTGCAGGCCCGTAAGGATTAGCGCCCTAACCGCGCAATTTTCGCGACGAAGCTGGAGTGATCTAGGTAGGTACGGACCTTACAATTTCCCTCGTGGTATCCCTCCTACTAGTCGGGCTAATCCCGGGGTTTGCCTTCAATTAGGTACGAATCGTTCCATTTCATACCGACCGCTGATCTTCACTTGCCACTTCCCGACGATGATTGTATACACGCGTGAACATTGGAAGATGTTGGACTTTTCCACTTGTGCATACCACATTATACCCGTCGCGTGAACACTATCTTTGTTAGCTTAAGTAACATAATCTTGAATTTAGTCCATTTAAGGATTGTTACCGCTTGCCCTGCCGTTCTATGCCACTCTCTTACACGGAAGAAACTCAATTCGATTTGAAACATTTTCTTCGCGATTTTCGTGCTTCATACGCCCGCCCATATTGGGTTCTATAAACACTGCGCGCGTTACAGTGAAGGCTTCACGATTGCACGTAAGTAACGATAAAAAAAAGAGTCGCTCTCAACGCACAAAGGTGTTCTATTGAAATAGCCCTATTGTCGCATCTCCTGTTTAATTTTTCCTACACAATCAATATTTTAAACGAAGCCGACAAATTTGTTTAGCGACGACTATCGTCCTTATCGTCATTATTAGTAGCTCCATTCGCAGAACAGTTCAACATCATCATAGCTGGTGCTGATTGTCTATTCCTGGAATTATTCTTTTCTGAAAGAAATAAGGGATAATAGTTTCATCAGGGTTCGAAGCAGGGTCAACCCTGCGTTGCGCAAATTCCAAAATTTTTACGACCCCCTTCCTTTTCGGAGGGTATCGGTACGACCCCCCCCGTATTAACTATTATGTCTTTCACATAATTTAATGCTCATCATTGATGTGTGGGCAGTCACCAACATGGAGAAGTGGTGGACCGTGGTCAATCCGCGCGCTCTGTCTCGCTCAGAGGAGGGAATCGAGGCAAATGAAGTTTTATTCATTAAATAGAAGGAATTTCCAAATTTTTGCGTAAACCAATACATCATTTAATCGTAAAGATTTCTACTTTCAGAAACCTACCAAGTTTTTTTCGATCTCTCAATTTTCCTTACCTTATAATCTGAAAAACTAAACCTTGTAGCAATTACGTTGCAATCCAAACCCCTCCATTCAGAAGGTTATATTTTTTTCAGAAGCGGTCTCATGGAACCGGACACCAAAATTTTAAAAATTCAAATAGTTTTCTTCCTAAAAAGTATTTGAAATGTTGCGGATGTTCAATATTTCAAAAAATCGTCCCGTTGTTCCGTTTTTTGTGCACACGCGAGTTTTCGACATTCAAACATTCATAACTTTCTTCATATCAACTTTTTGCAGATGTCTAAGGCTAATTAGAAACTAGAAGATTAGCGCTTTCAAACAAGCACCTGATTTTTCCAGCGATCATTTTCTCAAAAAATAGTCCCGTTGTTCCGTTTTTGGGGGTTTGTGGTCCGATTTTTGAGAAGGCGCGAGTTTTCGACATTCAAACGTTCATAACTTTCTTCATAATCAACTTTTTGCAGATGTCTAAGGCTAATTAGAAACTAGAAGATTAGAGCTTTCGAATAAGTGCTAAAACTTTTTGAAATAATCACTCGCTCAAAAAATAGTCCCGTTGTTCCGTTTTTTCCACCTTGATTTTTTTCAAGCCATTTTCCTGGACCGCGACTATGCAGTCTTCAAAGGCCCATAACTTCCTTCAAATTAATGTGATGAGAAGCGGTAAAGATTGTTAGAATCCACTCGAAGAGTACTTCATAACAAGTGTGAAATTTTCCTGAAATTCTTTCTTCTGCCTCAATTTTCCTAAGGGGTCTCTAGAACTCAATTCAGCAAATTCGCTACACTTTGTTCCGCTTAGATTTGATTTGAAAGCATCGAAATTCTCTTCAGAAAGTTTGTCTGCTTACGGCCGCTGACAGAGAAGGCGTTTTTATGGGAAAACGCCTGCTCGGGTATACGCCGTGCACCTGTCTGTGGCAGAAGTCGCACTCGCATTTGAAAGTCCTCCATTTTCCTGAAGAAGGTGTTAGTATCGTGATTGAGTTGCATTGTACTGTTATATGGTACTCTTGTTTCCCCCATGAACTGCTCTACACTTTGTTCTCCTTGGGATTTCAGGAATGTTCGATCATCGAAGACAGACCATGTTTTTGCACTACGCTGTAACAAAGTTTTTGGCTATTGTAATCTTGATCTATGCTGTCGAGCGAAAGCGCCGTCCGTGTATTAAGGATAATAATGGCTGATAGTGAGACTTATAATGCTCTGCATGCTCTAATGCTCCCATGGAGCTCTTGTCTGTGTGACTCTCCGACAGCTGCACGGTGCAGAGCTCCTGGAGAACATTAGGGCGTGAAAGTGCACTCCCGGACACTGCACTTTTCAAGCCGTCTTGCAGCCCGTCTCTCTGGATACGACCCCCTCCCTTTTCGGTTCGGCTGAATACGACCCCCTCGTTGTTCTTTGCGCAACGGGCGGTTGACCCTGGTTCGAAGCTGGCTCAAATATTTTCCTTGTCTGAGATCACTTTTTTCCACCTGGATACCTGTTCTGTGATGAACTTGTTACGTATATTTAAAAGTTCATCAACCACGCCATATTTTTGGGATTGTTTTTTTGAGGATCAACTTGGAAAGTATCATTGTTGGAAAACGTTAGCTTCATTTAATAATTGCTGGTAAACGTATATGTAAACTGTATAGGTTTTTCAGATTGTTACATGCACGCCGCGGTCACCGATAAATTGGTCTCCGAAAGAAATTGCACTTCCTTGGTTGGTTATGTCAAATTTGATCGCAAAAGTAAGTCTTACGACGACATCAATAAGGCACTGAAGCACGTGAAAGAGATTCATGGAGTGTTGTTCTTCATTGGAAGCAATATTAAGCGGCTCTCTATAAAGCATCTCAAAATTTATGCCCACTTTCGTGAGTTTTTCTTTTATTCCTTATTCTCCTTATTGTGAGCAACGGGTGACCGCTAGGAGAGGTGAAATAGGATAGGTCATATCAAATTCACAACTGAGCGTCTAACTTGGGAAAGAGTAGTATACATACAAGTCTGAGCCGAGCGAAAAAATAATGTGAAATACGCATCTGCTAGTATCTCACAGAATTCATCACTGAAGGTTCATCATGAGAATGGGAACCGGATTTATTCTGTCATAACAAAAGGAAGTTAGTTTGTTCAAACAAGCGAGTAGATTTGCAGCAAGGAACAAGAGCACCGGGTGTAAACAAAAGCATGAATGTGACAATATTACTAGTTCGTGAAGTTCTGGCGCAGGGTTGCGACGAAGAGACACTGCGCGTTGAGGACGGAGCACATACCCTCCCTTCAGAAAGCGAGAAAGCGTCGGGTGCAGACCATACACCACAAGTGACGACGGCCTCCACAAAATGTAAATGTTTTCTGCCAATGAAATGATTAGCCTGTTGCAGTTGTATTCTATCAGTTGTCACTAATTACAACTATCATTTACCAAAAATCAGCTATCACTATGAACCACTACTAACCAGATTTACTTGGAGGCCGTCGTCACTTGTGGTGTATGGTCTGCACCCGACACTTTCTCGCTTTTTGAGGTGCTATCGTTTTCTGTACACATGGCGAGCCCCTTGCTACCTTGTCATGCGCATTCACTCCCGAAAAATGCACATCTTCCAACATGTGAATCCTAGTAAGTGATTCCGAAAGCCTGATTCATTTACCATAATCTAGCGATCTGCATTCACAGCACTTTTATCGTTACAAATTTGAACATAAACTTAGAAACTTGGGTCGGAAATAACATACTTCCTATTTCTGAGTGCGAGTTATGTTTCCCGTATTTTCCTGTTCTTCGCTTTAGAGGCAAAGTTCGAGCTCAGGCCTGCCTAAGAAGCCCTTACCATGGCTAGAAGTGCTGGTACGCAAGTGCAAAGGTAGCGCCACCTTTCTACATCGAAACGCGTCACTAGGACCCTAGGCGCCATGGACTTCTAACAGACTCCACCAAACTTAACATGGTCCGCCCACCGTTCGATATCTTGTCTGCGTCGCTGCGTTGATCTGCTATGCTCTCTCTTCTCGGACTTCTCTACCGCTCTCCGCGCTCACATCTCTCACCTTCCTGCCGACGTAAGCAAACCAGCCCTTTTGGCGTTTCGGCTGGGACCGTATGCTGAATGTTGGGGAGGGGATGGGGTCCCCAACGGTCGACGGTTTACTTCAACTCGGTTGGTACGATAGGAGAGTACTGACGCAAGTGGTGCAGCTGGTCCAGCAGCTCCGCCAGAAGGGCTGGTTTGCTCACCCCAGGACTAAGCCTTGGAGATAGGACGGACCCGTCAATGCTCAACTGGTCAGTCCGACCATTTATAGCGACTCTGAGCTCAATCCGTTTTCGTTATCTGCGGAACGATTCTCTGAAAGAAGTTACGAGGGGGATCTTCTCACTATGGCTTTTTCACTGTGGCATCCTCTACATTCCCCTGTCCTACACGGTTCGCATAAGAAGAGCCAGAGAGCATCTCACACAGTTGGCAAAGTGGCCTAATGGATATCTCCCTAGACTCATACGGGAGAGGTCACAGGATCGGATCCATAGAACCGCAAAGTTTTTGCATTTTTTCATGGCTTCTCATACGAGCCCAAAAAGTGTCTATATTTGGTTATTTTGTTGATTTGCGTCCCCACTTGACATGTGGCTGAGACAGACTTTGGAATTTTCCTCTCGTCCGTCTTTTTAGGTTTTCTATTATGATGAACTTTGACACACGGGACAAAACACAAGGACACAGGCTCGTAAATATACAAAATTTCAATAACTTCGTGAGCATATGTGATAGTTCTTCACATGGTGATCAAAACAAAACAGCTTTTCGCAGTTGCACAGGAAATAAAGAAAGAGCTAAGGTGATGTAGAGGGTGCCACAGTGGGAAAGTCACAAAGAGAAAAATCCCTCGTAACTTCTTTCAGAGAATCGTTCCGCAGATAACGAAAACGGATTTGAGCTCAGCGTCGCAAGACGCGTCCATTGGACTACATCTCATTACAAACGGCCGGACTGACCAATTGACCATTCCTCGTTAGTTCTGAGGTGAGCACAAATTGTGGCGGTTCTAAGGACCGAGTTGAAGTGGTCCGTCCACCGTCGGGGACTCCATCCCCTCCCCAACATTCAGCATACGGTCCCAGCCGAAGCGCCAAAAGGGCTGGTTTGCTTACGTCCTCCCTGCCTTCCTTTTGAACTTCTCCACAGCATAGAGCAAAATGCTCGTATTTCCTGTGTATTTCAGGATTTTCTTTCCTTTTTTCTCCACTGGCGGTCCACCTCCCATCCCTACTTTCACATTTGAGTGGAATCAACCCATCAATTCAATCCTGAATCTTGCCTTTAATTCCGTGAATCTTTTCAAGAGTTCGTACATAGTCCTGATAACAACGCCATCATGTTTTTGGTGCATGCATCCATATTATTGGGTTGTTGTCCTGCAAATAGTTATGGTGGTGTTCGAGATCGCAATTAGGTAGTGAGAGCACTTGCAAATGCATGATGTAAACTTGTTGAAGGAAATGTTGAAAACATATGGGGTCTTGTAAACACAAAGATCTTCTGTTTGATGAGAGTCGGTAGTAAAAAGTCGCTCAGAGTATTCGATAGTGTTCGATTTCTACTTTAAATGGTGTAATTATTCAACATGATTATGATTTCAGCTATCGCAATAGACATACTGAATAATAAACACCTGACGGATGTGAAAGAACTACTCGACGTGACAATAATCTTACCGAACCAAACGTCGTACGAAAAGAAGAATATGGTCCGTCTTCTACATAATGGAAGGATAGCACATGATAAAGTGACACAGAAAAAATTACAAGAACTTTCTCCGGATTATCCTATCCAGTTCTACGATTACGGTAATAAGCATGTTATAGCTTCTTGTAATTTCGGGAATTGGCCTTAACTGAAATTCCCACTTGTCATATTATATTACTAGCAATTCGGTTCGCAATTACGGACATGATACGGTAGGCTTCAGAGAAACTGGATAACCTATGAAATATCAGCTGGCGTGCTCCACAATGACACCTTACTCGGATACTACAGCCTGTATGAACCTAGAAAATGTTCGTCAGGTTATCCAAATTCTTCGGAGCCTAGCCCATGTGATGCGCGCGAGAGCACGCAGAGCTAAAATAGTACTTTCCATAGCTCTGTCAGCATCCAGCACTGGTCTGTGTTTGAATAGTTTACCGCTTGAATAGCCTTTCGCTATTTGGTTCAAATGGGGCTCAAGCATGTTTACTGGAGGGTTCAAATGGGCAGAGATATTTGATTTACCTAGTCGATTGTAAGCTGAGATTACTCGTGGAGATATGACCAACAGCTTGACCCCCAATCTTCGTCTAGTAGCCATGCTTTTTCACTTTATCTGAAAAGTCTACTGGATTCGCATTATGGGTTTATTGTGAAATTTTTTAGGAGTACGCATTGAAACCCTGTAGGATCTGATTACTGCTGATTTCATTTCAAAATTCAAACTTATTTCTTCATAGGGACGCCATGCGCTGGAGGAGTTCTCACTGACAAAATTGGATATGGTGCACTCGAAGGGAAGTGTAACATCATTCTAGGAAATCTCGTCATACGAGACTGTAAGTGACGTTTCGCAGAGTTCCAGGAATCCTTGAAGGCTTTTCGCCTACCGCGCAACGCATTTACTCCAAGGTTTTACCTGGCTACCTCTTTCTTTTGTACTATTTTCAGACACAACTTTTGATTACATCACTTTCTTTCCCACATAGTGTAATTGCATTGATAAATCTTAGTAAAAAAATAACTTTCAAAATAACAAGAACAAAATTATTCGCCGATGGAGTTGATCAATAACTTTTTGGGATGCGGTACGCATTCTATCAGGTTGTATGTACGATAAGTCTTAAGCCCATGTAGTGTCGTTTTTAATCAATCAAAAAACGTTCCTGCTAAGGTTCAGAAGTTTTAATTACAACTTACACACCGTTCTGGGAAGATCGTCTGTTCAACGAAATCCCTTGTTTCAGTTCCACATCGTTACGAATTTTTCTTAGATTTTAGGCCTGCGAACTATGAGGTCCAGTCGACGAAAATTAGCCAAATCGACAACTAGCCTAACTTTATTTTCCCTCAGAGGGATCAGTCAATGATGGACCTTTCGCTTAGCCTCGACCTCTAGTAAACATTCCGTTATTGAGATTTCCAACAAGTCGCTTCCCTCCCTTTTTGGATTTGGTTTTTCTGCCAGAACTCGACGGTCAAGCACCATTACCTGAGATCTAGGTCGAAATTTTTTTTATAGCCGAGACATTGAAAAACTAGTAGAATTTAAAGAACAAGTCATGACTAAGTTAGGAATGTACGCCTGGTTGATTTTCTCATATCTCAGGGAAAATTTTCTTGAACGAAGTAACGGTCGACGGTTTACTTCAACTCGGTTGGTACGATAGGAGAGTACTGACGCAAGTGGTGCAGCTGGTCCAGCAGCTCCGCCAGAAGGGCTGGTTTGCTCACCCCAGGACTAAGCCTTGGAGAGGGGACGGACCCGTCCTCTCTTTAAGGCTTAGTTCTGAGGTAAGCACCAAATTGTGGCGGTTCTAAGGACCGAGTTGAAGTGGTCCGTCCACCGTCGGGGACTCCATCCCCTCCCCAACATTCAGCATACGGTCCCAGCCGAAGCGCCAAAAGGGCTGGTTTGCTTACGTCCTCCCTGCCTTCCTTTGAACTTCTCCACAGCATAGAGCAAAATGCTCGTATTTCCTGTGTATTTCAGGATTTTCTTTCCTTTTTTCTCCACTGGCGGTCCACCTCCCATCCCTACTTTCACATTTGAGTGGAATCAATCCATCAATTCAATCCTGAATCTTGCCTTTAATTCCGTGAATCTTTTCAAGAGTTCGTACATAGTCCTGATAACAACGCCATCATGTTTTTGGTGCATGCATCCATATTATTGGGTTGTTGTCCTGCAAATAGTTATGGTGGTGTTCGAGATCGCAATTAGGTAGTGAGAGCACTTGCAAATGCATGATGTAAACTTGTTGAAGGAAATGTTGAAAACATATGGGGTCTTGTAAACACAAAGATCTTCTGTTTGATGAGAGTCGGTAGTAAAAAGTCGCTCAGAGTATTCGATAGTGTTCGATTTCTACTTTAAATGGTGTAATTATTCAACATGATTATGATTTCAGCTATCGCAATAGACATACTGAATAATAAACACCTGACGGATGTGAAAGAACTACTCGACGTGACAATAATCTTACCGAACCAAACGTCGTACGAAAAGAAGAATATGGTCCGTCTTCTACATAATGGAAGGATAGCACATGATAAAGTGACACAGAAAAAATTACAAGAACTTTCTCCGGATTATCCTATCCAGTTCTACGACTACGGTAATAAGCATGTTATAGCTTCTTGTAATTCACCTCAGTTACCGTTACCGGATTACCGGATTAGTTACCGGATTTACCTCAGTTGAAATTCCCACTTGTCATATTATAATATATTACTAGCAATTCGGTTCGCAATTACGGACATGATACGGTAGGCTTCAGAGAAACTGGATAACCTATGAAATATCAGCTGGCGTGCTCCACAATGACACCTTACTCGGATACTACAGCCGTATGAACTAGAAAATGTTCGTCAGGTTATCCAAATTCTTCGGAGCCTAGCCCATGTGATGCGCGCGAGAGCACGCAGAGCTAAAATAGTACTTTCCATAGCTCTGTCAGCATCCAGCACTGGTCTGTGTTTGAATAGTTTACCGCTTGAATAGCCTTTCGCTATTTGGTTCAAATGGGGCTCAAGCATGTTTACTGGAGGGTTCAAATGGGCAGAGATATTTGATTTACCTAGTCGATTGTAAGCTGAGATTACTCGTGGAGATATGACCAACAGCTTGACCCCCAATCTTCGTCTAGTAGCCATGCTTTTTCACTTTATCTGAAAAGTCTACTGGATTCGCATTATGGGTTTATTGTGAAATTTTTTAGGAGTACGCATTGAAACCCTGTAGGATCTGATTACTGCTGATTTCATTTCAAAATTCAAACTTATTTCTTCATAGGGACGCCATGCGCTGGAGGAGTTCTCACTGACGCATCAAAATTGATAGTCACTCAGAAGGGCAGCATCATTCTATGAATCTCGTCATCGAGACTGTAAGTGACTTCGCAGAGTTCCCAATCCTTGCAGGCTTTCGCGCTCCGCGCACGCATTTACTCCAAGTTTACCTGTCTACCTCTTTCTTTGGTTGTACCATTATCAACACAAACTTTGATTACATCCTTTCGTCCCACATATGTGAATGCATATGATAAATCTTAGTAAAAAAATAACTTTCAAATAACTAAAACAAAATATCTTCGCGCGATGAGTGAATCAATAATTTGGATCGTTATCCATTCTAATAGTATTGTCACTATAATCTGAAGCCCATGTAGTCGTTTTAATTCAATCACGAAACGTATTCCTGACTAAGGCAGACTTTCATTTACAACTTACACCACCGTCTGCGGAAGATCGATCTGTATCATACGAAATCCCTTGTTTCATCCACATCGTTAAGTAATTTTCTTAGAATTTTAGGCCTGGGAACTAAATGAGGTCCAGTCCGACAAAATTAGCCAACCGACAACCAGGCCTCAACCCTTCTTCGCCTCAGAAGACTCAGTCCGTGATAGGACCTATTCGCTTAGCCTCCGACCTCTAGTAAACTCCGTTATTGCGATTTCGCCAAACAATCGCTTTCCCTCCCTTTTTGGATTTGGTTTTTCTGCCAAAACTCAATGAGCAAGGAAAATTTCTTGAAATCTGGCCTAAATTTTTTTTATAGTCAAGACATTGAAAAAGTAGTAGAGCGTTAAGAATGAGTCACTACCAAGTTAGGAATGTATGCCTGATTGACTTTTCCCATATGTTCAGAGAAAATTTTCTTGAAAGTAGTGTTGGCATTTTTGTGGCCGAACACCCTATCCCGTAGGACCAAACTTCCAACTAGTTTCACTCAGAATACAGAAATATAACGCACTACCGAATAGAGCAGAAAGTTGCTTCCGAATGGTATATCGCTTAAACTAAAACGATGGCGATTCAGAGAAAAAACTCCAGTCAAATGTTCGCTATAACTCATTGGTCAATAAGAAAAGCCAAATTCGAAGATAAAAACGGCAAGGATTCTTCTACAATCAAACAGAATGTTCAGGAGAGGTCTAGATTAAGTAGTGGACACATTTTTGATAGGATTTCTACCAAAAGAAAACAGAGTTAGGGCTAGCTGTTGGTTTGGCTATTTTGGTTGGCTGTACCTTTCATTTTGCAGGCCTAGAATCTTAAGTCAATTCCCGGAATAAGCCGCAGTATTGTGAGCATACCGTGAGGGAGCTTTTAGTGTCCTTCTCTACAAGGAGCGGGCACGCCCGTGCACAAAATACGCGGTTAAGGCGCTAATCATTAGAGAGCCGCAACCATCGGCGCTTATTGCAACGCTTCCCACCCACCGATCGATGTGAGATCAGCGCGCTCTCTCAAACGGCGTGCTCTCTCGCGTTTTTGTCTTCTTTGATTCCCTGTCTCGCCGTCGTACCACATCCGACCTTACTGAAGGTCAGGCCTTAATTTGAGCCCTTCCGATGACTTCTCTTGCCTCGTTTTCCCCATTAATGCATTCGCACTCGTCCATCACTAAGGTGCGATCTTGTACAAGTTTTGTACCGGGTTTGCCCTTAAAGTCCTGCAACAGGTGTGGAATCGAAACATAGTATTAAGTAGAGCGGACACTTCTATTTCGAATCTCGTATAACTTTATAAAGTACTTGAAATGTCAACAGGATTTTTTGGTTGTATGAAACGATACTACCTGGACAACCCAATATAGGGTGGGCAAAAATTACGGTAACAAGATAAAGTGTTCATGGAAGAGCAATGCGGCCAGGAAGACACACGTGGACACCAACAATGTATTCATAGGAGGTCACCAAACAGAATACAACATCACTTCTTGGACTGGCCGCTGTTCTGCGTTTATACCTGAGTGAAGTCATCTCGGGAACGCATCGGCCTGTTGTGTAGGTAGGTGACATCGAGCTTACCCTAGGATCTTCTTTAATTCGTCGATGCTTTAGTGATACTCGTAGTAGCCCATCGTCTTCAGTAGACTCCACGGAAAATAACCCACTTGCTTTAAAATGGGAGAATAAGGTTGCCACTCGTTTAATGTCATGAATTCGGAAAGTTCTGCAAAACCAATGTTGCACAATATTTGCTTTGTGCACAGGCGGTCTATCTTGCTGTTGTGTCCAGTGATTTCTCTCCGGGGTCTCTTCAGCCAGATGCATTTATTAGGTTCGAAGGAAATCGAGATGTTTTGTTAGCGCTCTTGTTACCGTAATTTTTGCCCACCATGTACATCCTTTTGTAGATTCGTAGTGGCGTTTGAATGCGATGTGGCCTATACAATGACTTGCGGGGGCCAGCCGATGTACAAGTCAGTGTTTTTATCCTCCCAGACAAGTCTGGTACCAATTAACCGACCCCGGAGGGATGGAAGGCTTGGTTGGCCCGGGCGACTCACGACCCAGGATTTGATCCCCGGACCGCTCGCGTGGTAAGCGTGCCACTTGCCACTACACCACTTCCACCCTTCAGAATTACTAGGTAATAATAGCTGAGTCGCGAAATCAATGAAGGCCTAATGGCACACCTCACAGCATGGTTGGAAATAAGTGTTTGCGCTTTGAAATGAAAGTAGGGGCTACTAATTCAACTGTAGCAGAAAGTCTGAAGAAATCGTAGAATTTCTAAGAAAGCTCTTATACTTCAATGATTCACTCGGAAAGATATGCATAAAAATTGCGATGACCGGGAGAAGAGGAGGAGAAAGGTCAAGTGTCGCGTTCGCCTTTTCAAAGATTTTTACGACTCCCCTTCTCAAGGCTGCTAAATAAATAACAGACTATGGAAATTGAAGGTTCAAAAGAGGGCGGTTGCGGCGCGACTCCTTGAGGCTGGAAATAAAAGTTTCTGTGAGGCAAGATTTCAGATAAATCCTCCTTCAAGATTTTTTAAGGTACTTTGGAAGACACAAATCTCATAGTTTTGGAAAATACCTATCTACCACCAAAACAGGCATTTTAAAGTAGCTATGACTGCAAAATCATCTCGTAGTTAGGCTGGTGTCAGAGTCCGCGATCCGTCGCAGGTTTCGCTGATTTTCGCGATTTGCGCGATTTGCGCGATTCACGCGACGGGTCACGGAAATCACAAGTGCCCGATCAATACTGCAAGGTGTTCTCCAATCCTGCCGCCACTTCTGCTTGATAGTGATGGCTGAATGACTGCTCATGATTCCACTTGTTTCATATTCAGTGTTTCAAATGTTCAAATGGGGCACTTGCAATTTTTGCGATCCGTCGCAGGTTTCGCGCAAATCGCGAATCGCGAAAATCCGCGAGCGAAACCTGCGACGGATCGCGGAACTCTGACACCAGCCTTACTGTTGAGGAACCTAGGAGGGAAGAAAAATGTGAACGCATGATTTTTCGAAAAATAACTTTGAAAGCAACCAAGCACCTTCTAGCGAACACACCTCTGCTTCCTTGCGGTTCCGTGAAAGTTCGCCGTATAAATAAAACAACGAAAGTTATGGTTAGTGGAAATCTCGAAAACTCGCGTATTTGAATAAATTATCCAGCAAAACTCCCTAAAATGTGAAACGAACGTAAAATGGATTTTAAAGAACAATAGCTGCTGAATCCTATGTTTTCTTGCCATGTAACTGGTTGATACAGAAATGAAAAATGAGAAAGTTATGGTCGTAAAATCTCAAAAACCCGCAGTTGCATGAAAAAGTGCCAAAGGGGAAGTTTTTAGAAAGCGTGAGCTCTTGAAAAGCATTTTAATCTCGATGAGTGAATAAATATTTTATGTTTCTGAATCATGTTACAGCTCCTCGAAAAGTGGCGCTTAGAAGAGGCTAGGACCTTTCAAAGATGGAAGAGCACCTGATTAGAAATTTGGGTTCTACACTTCTAAGAGAAGTACTTTCCATATTGTGAGGTGATCGTAGTGGTTTTCTGGAAGCGACGTCGTACATGTTCCAAATCCAAATCTCCCTAAATAATTAGAAACTGTGTGATTTCAAAGGAGTCATATCTCTTTTGAATATGTTTTCTTACCATGGAAGGGCGGAAGTGGTGTAGTGGCAAGTGGCACGCTTACCACGCGAGCGGTCCGGGGATCAAATCCTGGGTCGTGAGTCGCCCGGGCCAACCAAGCCTTCCATCCCTCCGGGGTCGGTTAATTGGTACCAGACTTGTCTGGGAGGATAAAAACACTGACTTGTACATCGGCTGGCCCCCGCAAGTCATTGTATAGGCCACATCGCATTCAAACGCCACTACGAATGTACAAATGGAAGTAGAATGCGTGCCGCATCCCAAAAGGGATTGATCAACGGCAAATGCTTTATCCTTTATC